CTTTATTTTTATGTCGATTATATGCTCTTTTCCTTGTATTTTGCCTTATTTCAGGCATTTATTCAAATGGCTTACATTCTTTCAGATTCATTCAGAGTCAGTACAATTTAAAATTGCTCAAAATAACTCACCTTCCACTTTCGAAGCTTGAAGAGTTGAAAAAGTGGGAATTCGCAGCCGAATTCCATGGAAATCAGCTGATTCGCCGTCACCGAGCCGCACCGCTGTCGCGTCACATTGCAGCGCGGCTGTGCCGCCCCGACAGTCCGTAATGATGAGGACTGTACTTGCGACCACCACAACGGGTGAAAGATTAGCTAGGTTTTCTCTTGAGAGTTCAGCAGTAGTAAGTAGTTGATATCGTCGCAATCAGTGGAAGCAGCTACAGGGGACATGGAATAAGCGCGGCTATGGATGTGTTTTTTCTAGGAACGGTGATCGGTTAGTGATCGACTCACGGAGAAAACAACCACTGGTAGAAAACGTGGGCTCATCCCATGTCACCTGGCACCACCGGTTGATCGCGACGACATCAATTGTACACAATAGCTTTAGTGCACCTCATCGCGTTGTCTGAATTTCGGCCGAACGATCACCACCCCCTCCCTCCAGGATTTTCTCCCTTCCAGCAGGGACGGTACAAAGTACCCTCGTCATCCGGGCAGTTGATTAGGGCGGTCGTCAACGGGCCGCAGCGCGTGCCAGGAACTATTTGCTTTTTCCAGGCTAATTTAGTCATTTTTTCCAACTTTTCACTGTTTTGGCTACTTTCCCAGATTAGCATATCCTCCATTATCTTCACAAGTGTTAGAAAAAAAAATGACTAAATTAGTCTTGGAAAAAAGCAGAATAGTTTCCTGGCCGACGGCCGCTGCGGCGCCCGTGAGTGACCGCTCTGAATAAAACTGCGCCGATTGACGGAGACATAGCTACCTCATCGAAGTACGTACAAAGCAGGTTTATCACGACGGTCAACCAGGGGAGTATCAACTTCCTTTTTGCATTTCGGACTGTCGGGGTGTTATTCAGTCAGTATGGCAGTGCGGCACACTTGTTTTGAAGCCGTTCTCAGCCTTTTCTTTTTGACAGCGCCGTATGGCCTGTACAGAGAAAGTCTGGGTTAGAAAACGGAGGGTGAATAGAGAGCGATACTAAGCTGTTAGTCAGTGTTCGCCTTCATAAACGTAGTTGCAGAAAGACTTTGAATGCGTGTCGGAAGAACGCAAGGCGCGCATCTGACCCGCTCACTCTGATCAGTTCTCGTAATGATTGAGGAGTATACATTGGGTCGCCTTCTGAAAACGCGGAAAATAAACACAAATATATTCTCCTCTATAGTATGGATCGCACTCTTTCGCCTCCGCAGCGGCAAATAGACTCCTCCCAACGTGTGTCTTGCTATTGCAATGTGCACAACAAATGGAATCCATAGAAGCACGCAGCAAAATGAACTACTTTTGCGGTCTCCATGTACTCACAAAAGGCCAATTAGACCAGCCAATTTAGCGACATATGAGCACATATGGCGTTCAGGTTAGGCCGCGTTCATACATGATGCAGAAATGCAGAACCACGGAATGTGCAGAACTGCGGAATTTGCAGACCTGCGGAATTGGGAGAACCGCGGAACTTGCAGAAAAAGAAAATATGTCTATCGATTTCAAAAACCGTGGAATATGCAGAAGTGCGGAATCTGCAGAATCTGCAGATTCTGCATTTCTCCCAATTCCGCACGACGGCAGGAACGAACCGATCGATCCCTATCATTTCTTTTTCCGTCATTTCTGCATTTCTGCAAATTCCGCGGAATTTGCAGAAATGCAGTTTTCAAATCGATACGTATGCATTTCCTTTCCGCAATTTCCGTCATTTCCACAACGTCGTCATGTATGAACGCGGCCTTACAGCGAACATACGAGAACGGACAGGATGCGCCAAAAAAGGATAGTTGGCCGACGGCACCTCGCCAACCCCTGTGAAATGTGTAGCTGAGGGTCTGTCAGAGCCTAATCATCGAAAAACTCTGCACTTCTTTTACTGTTTCACTGTACGAATTTTTTCCATATTTTTCAAAAGCAACTAGCCGATGGGAAGGGATGTGTCGCAATACAACGAGGTGGTCCCGCAACGAACACTTCTGAGACGTGTAGTGTTGGACGATTGCCAATCCTGTTGGAAGAACTTGAAGACAGCCGATGTTCGCTGAGTTTACCGTTTATTTTGTGCTTATGAGGTATTTGAGCATCAGTATTTGTCAGCTTTGTAAAAGAAAAATTCGTTTATGGTCTGTCTCCCTAGAGCCCATAGTCCGTCGTTTTTGTGCGTCTTGTTTGGTATGTTTCTCTTTGAATTGCTAATTTCTTTGCAGGGTACTTGCACTTGTTCACAATGGTGTTAATCTCGGCAAGTGTTGTATCGAAGTCTGGAAAAGGTTTGTTGTAGTTAATGTAGTATTGTTACATCTCAAAATAAAGTTATACCATCGTTTTACACATAACCAAAACGAGTGATACTATTAAAATCCTTGCAGCACTCGTCACCCGAGTCTTCGTCTCGGATATGACACGAGCACGCATGGAGGGCTTGCTTGATGCCTTTCCAAAACTCATAGGCAACGATCAGGTATCACTGTCTTTCCTCCTTATTTAGTTTGTGCTCAGCTTTGGCCAATACACATACATGCATTTTGTTTTCTCCTTCGCGAACTTTTAGAAAGGCATGCTGCAATTCACCCTAAGCTTGCAAGTGTGCGTAAGGTTCAGTAACTCAGCTGTTAGCAACATATAGTGATTAGTAGCGAGACTCATCAGCTAGTTTGTTGAATCGGGTAACTTACCAGAAATTACTGATATACCCTATTTGACTATTAGTTGCTTGACTACTTCCAGGACTGAGTAAATTCGTTACACGGGGTGAAAGAGAGGCAAAGAGTTAGCGTGAATAGTTCAGTTACTGATATACTCTATTATCCGAGGTATAAGGCACATTTTCATGCATGGTTGCGGGAACGCGTGCCAAAAGTTTTTCAACGCAACAACAGCTTCTTTATTTCTTTTGTAAATTATAATCTTCTATTTGATTTCCAAGCAAATCTTGTTCGGTAACCATCAATCACCTAGATAAGAAGGCACACAAAGCTCGAACTAATCGAACTCGATGCAATTTTTTTTACTACTTTCGCACAGATTCTGCTGTCATGATTCTTGCAAACGATAAGGCGTGTTAAGGGGCAAGAACTGGTTTGCAGCCAGAACAGCCTTTCCGGTTAATGCACACTCAAGAGGGCATCTTAGGGAGAAGGGCTCGTTGGCAGCGCTCCCCACGTTCGCGCACGCCCAGTCGTTTGTTGGGATATTAGTGTATAGAGTAACAAAGGAATGGTTAAATTATCTTACTATTTAGAGATCACTGTCTGGAGATTTGATTTCGCGAGGGTATTGCATCTGACGCGAAAGCAGAAGTACCGTTTTATCTGGACCCTAGCAAGTTGGTTACGGCTGAAACTTGCTGAATGCGTAGTCTGAGATAGAAATTGGCTTTAGCTCCCAGCTGATTTGATTTGAGGTCCAGGCGTAAAAGCTGAGTGCCTTGAGGATGTGATAGTAGAGGATGTCTTCTTTATTCGGTCTGAATAACCTAAACATAGTTCTGCATAAAAGTAGTTCATTAATTTAATGACTTATATATATACGCCCATAATATAGCTTACATTTAGATTCAAGCAAGGCAGGTTAGTGGAAAATCAGGTTCTTGCCGTCTTTTTGTTACACTCTTAATGGCTTCTGTCATGTGTTCGATTAATAATCTCGTCCATTATTGCGTCATCTTTTCATGCTTGTTTTGGTTCGTAACGGTCACGTTCCACTGTCTACATTTCTTGCGTTCTTTTATGTCAGGACTTCTCCTGCACACTTTTGTGTGTTCACAGCACTGCTAAGTATTTTGTGAAGCTGGGCAACTACTCCTTTAGAAGGGGTACCTCCAGAGTATCCGGGGATCCCTTACTTCTTCAGCGGGGCTTTTCTGGTGTTTTTCTTACGCGTTGTTTGTCCAGCTTTTCGGAATATTCTATGGATGACAGAACAAATAATGCTCAAGGAACGCCCAATATATTTCAGCGCAACGGCAGCACACATTCATCGAAACTGACAGCGTACGGTATGTCTATCACCCTTTGGATAACCTCTACATGGTGCTCATCACAACGAAAACGTCAAATATCTTGGAAGATCTCGAGACGCTGAGACTCTTTTCACGTGTGGTATGTATGCTGTCCTTTCATTTGTTCTTTACAAAAAGGTCGACCCTTCCATAGGGATGGTCTGGCTCGGCATTCATTCCATACCGTAATTTCATATGGATGCATTCTCCGCAATTCCTCTTTGGCCAAGGGGTTCGCCGATGTAGAAGACCAAGATATAATTTCTTTGAAGGGGTCTAGAACAGTTAAATTTAGTTCGCCAGCATTCTCACTTCGTTATGGATCCATCAAATTCGAGGATTTGGGATGGCGTGGGAGGGATGCGTCGCTCACTTACCTCATTCACTTACTCTACTTATCATTCTTTACTTACTTATCATTGGACCACCCTCATCTTTTTTGACAAACTTTCTTGAATAGCATTCCTGCATTGGAACATGATATAGATGTCCCGTTTATTGAAACTCAGGCTCACTGCCTTTCTTCCTCGCAGCACTTGTGAATACTTCACGATTTTCTTGGGTTCCACGTAGTGGCCTACAACTTCGAAGCAGATGGCTCGAATTTCCTTTAATACGCGCGTTCTGGCAATAAACCATTCATCTCAATTTTCGCCAGCTATGAATTCAAAACCTCAGTTCTTATTTACAATCAGACCACTATTCATCTCTGGCTGTAGGTGTACTAATAACTTTAGACAGATCCAGAGTTCAATAAACTGAGGGTTTCATATTTGAAAAGGCGCAGTACCAGAACTTCACGAAGCATAGAGCATGTTTTGGTTCTTCAGATTCCTGAGTATTGTCGATCGAACGATGAAAAGGAGATTCTTGCCCACGACTTCGATTTGATTTTCGCTTTCGATGAGGTTGTTACCCTCGGCTATAGGTAAAGATTCTAGAATTTGTTGTTCAGTAGGTCTTTTTTTTCTTTCCTACTGAGCTCTTTTATAGGGAAAGCGTAAATTTGGCGCAAATTCGTACGTTCACCGAGATGGACTCACATGAAGAACGAGTCTTCCTTCAAATCAAAGAGGTATCCATTTTAATTCACAATATTTTATTAGCTACTGACCTCAACTTGCGTTTGAATGAGTTATCAATTGAATGATTTGAGGCTCAAGAACGTGCTGCGAAACAAGCGATGGCTGAGAAGGCGAAGGAGTTCAAACGAATGCAGAAGGAAGCTCTTAGCAAGGGTCTCAAACCATCCGGTCAGTTCTCCTTTCCCCATCCCCTTGGTCTCATTTAAGTCGTTATCATGATTGGTTTTTGTTCAAGGTATGAACTTCACCTCGTCAGCTACCGGCATTTCGTCGTCGTCGACACCATTGACAGCTGTGCAAGAGCCCGTTGCTCCCAGACAAGCTGCTGCTTCGTCAAGAGCTGGTGGAGGAAAGGTAAACCGCATTTGGAACTGCTAATGATCTGGAAATCGTGTTTATTGAGCAGTCTTTGTATCTCCTCATGCCTGCATTACTTAACACTTTTGCAGGCTTTGAAACTTGGAGCGAAGACTCGAGATGAAGATGTTTTCCTACAACAACTTCGACAAGAGGGACAAGCTATCGCACCAGTCGAAAAAGCATCGGTAGATTACACTTATTCAAAGGCACATTTCAGCATAGGCCGTTGAACAATTGGCAAGTTTCGAGGTAAAAAAACAGTTACATATGTGCTAGTTGACCTGCTCGTGGATAGAGAGAGAGCAGAAGCCGTCAGAGTGCTCCAAACAACCCTCTACTTGTTCCATGTGTGAGGCGAAGACTGTGCGCAAGAGGCCAGACGCGAGCAGCAATAAAGCATGGGAACGAGCGAGGCGACAGATGGTAAAACCGGCGAGGTTCTTTGACCAACCTCGCGCCTTAAAGGCAGCACATGTATCTACCATTCGTGGGTAATGGGGTTCGAGACCTCCTGTTAATAAGCTAGGTAACTCGGTAAAGGAAAAGCAAAAAAATCGTCGGAAATGCTTTTAGTAGGAAACTTGTCGGCTCTAAGCATTATGAAAAAAAAGACGACGAAGAGATACTGGGCCTAGAGAAGGGAGGTGGGTGATGGTATAGGATGGAAGAGTACGCAAATGATAGAGATTTCGGCGTCATAAGGCGACGGCAAAACGAAATAGTAAGGGAAGAGCATGACTCCGAGGCGGAGACTGCTTGTCGTAGCACAGCTGTGGCATTGTTATCGAGTACAATCGTGATTGTGTCGTTATGCCGCCATCTTACGAATTTCTGACGCGAAACTTCCACACAGTTTTTCTTTGCGATTCGCTTTGACTAAACCGTTTTTTTCGGCTCAGGGCTTTTTGTAAGTGATCGCTGAAAGCCTTTATCTGTCTATCTCTTTTGAAATGGGCCAGTCCCTGAATTTGTAACTGGCTACTGTATTTTCGAGATAAGCTATCATTCTGCTCAGTAAGATATGTTGCAGCGCGAGCATGGAGGGGTGTCATCAGTTGCTGCTCCTGTATCTAATGTGAAACGTGAGGCTGTGCATGTTCGCACCGAAGAGAAGATGGTTGCCACAGTGAGCAGGGATGGAGGTTTGCAAGGAGTGGAGGTATGTCTAACCATTGTCAGATAGATTACTCAGACCAGTGTTTATGAGAAATGTGTATTTAGGTTCTTGGAGTGGTTTCCTTATCTGTCTCTTCGCCCGAGTTCAACACAGTTGCTGTTCAAATGCATAACAAAGCACCAGCTGGAGCACAGTTACAGGTCAGTTGGGCTTTTTTGAGCGGACTAGGTGGTGGATTTCTTTAATTTGAGATGTACATTTTCTTTCTCAAGTATTTCGTGGTTGGAGTTTGCACTAAATCCTTTTGACTTTAAACTTTTAGGGTTACATGTGTAGTTAGGTCACGACAGGAAATTTGGAGAGACTATTTATCTTTTGCCCCCCCCCCCTGATCAAGCTCGTTGTTCGTGAACTGGAAGTAAATATTTTTCAGTATGCATCACAATTACAGCTGTTTTAGGTGCATCCCAACCTTGACAAAAAAGAGTGGCAGGCTTCTCACATGCTGAAGTTGAAATCAGCTGGTAAACCGTTCCCAGTGAATAATGACGTTGGCGTTCTTAAATGGAAAATGGTACTCACCGAAGAGGAACAACTTCCCATTGCATGTGGGTTATATTTCTTACCAGAAATGCGCTTAAGTCCAATAATGCGGCATTCTCCTAACTTTTCAATCTTGGCAAGGGTGGCCAGAAGGTAAGCACTCTAATAGATTATGTGTTAAGAGATGACATTAGGCGTGCTAAGGGATCATGTGTTATTGACGGTACATGACAGGCTAATGACGAGCGCATAACATGACATGAATTGGAATGACGTCATTTCTTCGCCTTCCCTACAAAATTGGCTGGGTTCTACCCTGTAAAAAAGAAAATATTTGCCGTGGTTTTGAATATTCTCTGTTCTTTGCACCACAGGTAGTCCTGCACTGCCGTTTTCATTGATATCGCTAAAAACATACGTGTTATATGACGCCGGTAACACCTCATCTCCAAATACGTCCGTGGCATGTCATCTCCCTGTCGGACTGCTCAGACATTGGCCTCAATTTTTTTTGGGGTGCCGAAGTTGAAAATCTCATCTGAAGGTCAACTAACCAATGTTCCTGAGTTCTTTGATTTCAGTGAACTGCTGGCCTCAAGAATCTGCTGATGGCTGTCAAGTAAACATCGAGTACACATTACAAAGAGAGGATCTTTCTTTGGAAAATGTAGTCATCACAGTACCCTTACCGTGAGTACATAACTCGTTTGCGTTGCTAATATAGTTGTACGAGACCTTTCATATTGTACAAACGCAGAATTCTCCAAAAGAGATTATTTGGTGGCTTCATACACATACCGCATTACAGTTATATTTCTGTGTGCCTAACCAGTCAGAGGAGGAGGTCGTAGGGACAAGCGACGCACTTAACACTCGCACGGTCCTGGGTTCAAATCCCAGGTCAACCAAACCCTCTACCCTCCTTGACAAAAAATTAGTACAGGTTTGTCTGGGAGGAAAAGAACAAGCATGTACATCGGCTATCCCGCGCAAGTCAGTGTATAGGCCACCGCGTCTAATAAGCCTGTACGAGCCACGAAGCACTTTGTTTGGAAGTAGAGTGCGTGTCGCAATCCACAAAGGTATTGATCAGTGGCCAAGACTTCATCCTTTAAGCTAGTCATCGTGATCCAAAACAATGGCATTTGTAGATCTCAAAGTGCCAAAAGAACAGCACTTTTTCTCGGTCCCTTTATTAAGTTTCGTTGTAATAGCTTGGTAACACTGGTAAATAAATCCTCAAAGCTCTCGAGTAATGATAGTTGGGAAGTAATCACAATTGTCTTCGTAATTATCTGCACTGATTTGTTTTCAGTGCTGCCACTGTTCCTGTTGTGTCCGATTGCGAAGGTTCTTACGATTATCAAAAAAGTCGTAATCAGATTGTATGGACTATGCCAGTAATTGACAGGTAACGGTCTTATTCTTCTGCTTAAACCCAATCACTCTGTGCTCTGTGTTCACATTCTAGCACTAATTCGACTGGAACATTGGAGTTCACTGTACCAAATGGTCATGCAGATCACTTCTTCCCAGTCCATGTCCGCTTCCATACCGAAAAATTGTACTGTGACATCGGGGTGAGCTATTTCGATAACTTTAAGTATGATCTAGAAATTTCTTGCTAGTCTTTATGTGGATCGAACCTGTTTGTTAATGTCACCTCTACTCTGGTTTTTAAGGTGGACGCAGTTCAAACTATGGACGGAAACTCAGCGGTACCGTTCTCTGTTGAAACCCGTTTCATTACTGAAAAGTACGAGGTAGTATGAGTTAGTCCATAAGCACAATATATGAGAGTTGTTGTATGTTTACTTGTTTCCTTTTAATTGGATTATGATTATCAATCGGTTGGAATTGTTTTTAGATTATTTATTTATCTACTTCCACGATAAGTAATGCTGTTTTGATCTGTGATATCAATTCTTTGGTTTTCGCTTTTCCTTCTAAATGTGTACAACCTTTACAATTAAACATTATACATCTGCTGAGAATAGCTTTTTTTGGAAAGGATAGGGCAATGAAATAAACTAGTTATGAGAATTCATGTATAAGGTGGTTCGCTGCGGATTAGGGAGCGTCTCAGGGCAGACAAGTTTGGGTGGTGCCAAACTCGCATTCACCCAGTGTGGAAGCGTGCAAGTGACAAGACTGCATCATATAGTATTTTACCAATGGTCGTCGCCCACCCGTTTCAACAAGTGGAAGGGAACAAGGTTGGCATGATGATACTCTCCTACTGCTTGACACGGCCCTTTTTCCGCAGCGAGTTAGAGTATAGGTTTAAGAGATTAGTTCCGCAATTCCCTGAACACTTCTCTATATTTTGAAAGATTCATTCGAAGTGAAGCAAAACTATTTGAACGTCCATGACATTGGTGCCTGTTGGTCCCGGTTTGACGTGGTTTTTACCATTTTGAAATACAGACCAGAACCCATATGAATTCGACGTGTTCAAGTAGCTTTCAGCCTCTTTTACAAAATCATCTTTGAGATCGTCGTTAGAAATGAATGCCCCAGCTGCATCTGTGGGCCCATCCTGCCCATCAGTTCCTGCGGCCAGGAATAGGAACGCTGGAAGGGGATCAGAGTTGGAGCTGAGGGATACTAGGCAAGAAAGTGTCATTTCTTGACATCGACCTCCTCGCCCTTTACCACGAAGTACAACAGTCGTCTCGCTACCGAACAGTAAGGCAACCTGAGTGGGGAAGAAGTGTGACAATATTTCAGCAATCATTTTAGACGATATGGAAAACCACCTGATTTTGTTCTGACTCACCTTACGTCCTAAAGAGGTTTTGATTTTCTTGCCGAATCTATCCAACTTTGTGAGCAGACTGTCTTTTCCTGCAGTGATCAGCTCGGCAAAGTATCGCCCCGCTTCTGCAGCATTCCCCTCGAGAGTAGAGCTAACAATGTGCGAATCATACCCAAGCGATGTGAAGAAATCTTTCATCTCTTGAAGAGCATAGTTATTCGAGGCAATGATGATATTGTATGGTTCACGATTGCGCAACGAAGGCAGCGAAGACTCCTGAAGAAGTGCACGATGGGTGAACTTACCATCTGTGTTAGTTTTCGGTGATTTCTTATGAAGTTTCGAAGCTGAATGGCGAAACAGAAGAAATATCTACCGTACTTGGACTTTGCTCAGAACCTCTGGCGATAGCAACGATGTCCATTTTGGAGATGTAATAATTTTCTGGGACATTTCTTGCATTGACGGGTCTGTGGAATAGTAGGACCACTGGCAATGAATTGTATGAGGTCACCAATCATGTCCGATATGATCAGGCTCACCACCTGAACACAACACTGAGAAATTATTGAACATATGGTTGTGGAAATTTTCTAATGTACGTTGAATGTAAGAAGAACTCGATGAGGAAACAACATACCGTCCCCTTTCTGACGAAATTGAGCGTCTTTCCCCCTTTCACTGAGGACAGCTTCTGTCTAAATGCATTGAGGACCCGTATATCGGCACCGTTTGATGTTAGTGTTTTTATGGTGGAAAGTTTAGTGGCTAACGAGATACCATCAGGGGCACAGAACAAAGCCGAACCGCCTCCTGTAAGAAGGAGATTCACCGAGAAACGTCGTGGAGCAGAAGTCGAAGGACAACAGTGTCAAACCTTGCAAATTTTGATGGTATATTATTGAAAAGAGTTCACGCTAAGGATGCGATCTGAACGAAAACCCTCATATCCTGCGAGTTTTAGAGAGCATACTGAATCTGTTTTTCCTAATTGGTAAAAATCCACGGATGCTGGTTAAGGTACGAGACACCCACCCAGAAATGTGAAAAGCGCATGGAATTCCTGCTGTTTAATTTTAACTGATTATTAATCTCTAACAAGGGAACCCCAACAGGTCGATCCGGCCATTTGCAATGAGATGTATATATGGACGTGTCTTGAGCCGCTGAATCCAAATCTGCCCTCGGAATTTGCGGAACGATTCTCTGAAGGGAGTTACGGACCATTTAATCTCTGCTCTGTTCGCACAAGTTGAGAACGATAACTGCTTGCGGCAAGCGGCCGATGGCGTAGTGGATAAGCGCACTGCTTCAGGGCACAATGCCACATGTTGGAATCCTTGACTCTTGAGAACTTTTGCTTTTGTTCAAAACACTTCATATGAGTCCCTAAACACTTCTGTTTGGCCAATTTACCTAGTTCTTTAATTATTTGACAATAGGAGGCGGCCAATTCTCCATTTCTGCTTCCTTTTGAAAACTTTTATTATTTAAGAAATGAAGTTCTGGTTCAAAAGCACATAAGGTATTCTTCCTTGAAATGACAGAAACAATACAATTCTTGCAATGAGTACAGCGAATAAAAATGTACTTCATACACGCTACAGTTAGATTTCTCCACCAGTCAAAAGGTGTTTCGAATGCACCAGGTTGAGCTGCAAAGTATCCAGCCAAACCAAGAATAAATAAGAAGTTCTTTAATCGATGTGAGCAAAACTGAAAATAGACTAGAGGCAGAAGACGGTGAATAGAGTCTCGTTGATGTATTGAAAAATTGTATGAGTAGTTAGGCCTATGGGAGTACTGCTTTGTTCGTAGAGTCCATTGTGAGATCTTGTTTTTTTTTCATCATTTCTGGAAGAATACCACATGTGCTTTTAAACCAGAACTTTATTTCTTAAATAATAATAGTTCCCAAAAGGAAGTAGAATTATTGGGGAATTTTCCGCCTCCTATTGTTAAATAGTTGAAGAACTAGGTAACCTGGCCAAACAGAAGTGTTTGGGGACTCATATGAAGTGTTTTGAACAAAAGCAAAAATTTTCAAGAGTCAAGGATTCCAACATGTGACCTCGTGTCTCTGAAGCAGTGCGCTTACCCACTACGCCATCGGCCGCTTGCCGCAAGCAGTTATCGTTCCCAACTTGTGCGAACAGAGCAGAGATTAAATGGTCCGTAACTCCCTTCAGAGAATCGTTCCGCAAATTCCGAGGGCAGATTTGGATTCAGCGGCTCAAGACACGTCCATATATATACATCTCATTGCAAATGGCCGGATCGACCTGTTGAGGTTCCCTTGTAAGCAAAATGCTAGAGAGAAAGAATCAAATCAAATTCTAATATAAAATCACCTGAAATTAGAAAAAGGAATATAACATCATCCGCATCGTTCTTCTGAATAGAGTGAAGAGCCTCCGTGGTGGCAGCCACGGAGTCCGAATCAGGTAAATTGTTCCTGGCACCATAGAATACTCGCGAACGTAGGGTCGTCTCTCTAGCAGACAAAAGGTTTCGTGGCAGTGAATCCACAACGACAACGAGATGAGAACAATCTGAAAACAAACCTTAGTGAAAACGCTGACTCACCTGTTTTCTAAAGTACTCGGAGCAATGACGATTCCGTCGTGCATTCGTTGTCCTAGTTGATGCTCAGCCGCCATAGCCATGGGAATCGATGCTTTTCCAAAAGCAGTGACAACAAAACGAGTAGATGTCGATAATGGCAATGAAACGGCATTCGATGAAGAAGTGACAACGAGCTTGTCATCGTGGAGGGGGGAAAAAACCCCCCCCCCCCTCAGCGCCTGAAGTACAGAGGATTGGAATCACGGAACCTTTTTGGCCCATGCGCATATCTCGTTTCGAAGGCAGTTAATAGAGCATATACCACTGCATTGTGCTGCCCTCGCTGGAATCGAATGTGAAAATATCAAGAAGCACCAAAAAAAGTTTTACAGCAAGAGGTTCCAAAGTTTTCAAAACTTCGAAGGGAGAGGGCTCAAATAAAGGTAACTGCTCCACAACAGCGGCACGTAAGTTAAGTTGAAGTTGCCCGTGGATCAGAAAGTGCTACTGTGTTCGCGCGTGTCCCGCAACGAAACCATGGTAGTCACTTGAAAATGTTGTATTTTAATCGCTGAGGAAGGTGCTAAGCACTGAACTATTCAAAAAAAGTAATTTTGCAAAAAACCCCGTAATCCTTTTTGGACTTTGGGAGTTAAAATTCCTCGTGCCTCTACATGTTCCACATTTCAAATTTGTTGTGTAAACGGAGCCCAAAAGATGAAATCACCGAGCGCGACTATTGCGTGTCAACTATGTCAAAACTGAATATTATTCACATTGTAAGCAAATAAGTAAATAAGTGCATAGCTTCCCAATTGATAAGTCAACGAAAGTCTTCACCATGACCACATTTTTTGTTACAAGGACCCTATCTAAACTACTCTGTAACAGCAATATTCAAGGCAATATTTCCAGATCATTAAGAATTAGTGCCACTTTTCGACATATACAATATACCTCACCTTTTTAACACAAGAATAAGGTGATACAGCATCGCAGCATCGTTTGAACGCTGCAAGAGCTTCAGCTTTCATATACACCACCTCTTGCTAAAAAATAACGTGTAGCATCCTGTATAAGTAAAAAACAGTGGGATCAAACCTGAAAACTCATTTGAGGGTTCCGAGAGAAAACGCGCTAGAAAGCTAATCTTCGGAACCAACTACGATTGTCTACAACTTGGATCCTTTCTATTCTAGATGAAGCTGCAGACTTGTCACAGGTTGATGCAGCTCAGTTTTTCTCGGACTCGTGCTTTCCTAAACTGAGGACACGAACAAGGCAATCGTGACCTGCCGCATCGTCGCGCGCAGCGCATGATGCTGCTGTGCGCGGCCAATTCCCTGTGGCTGTCGGTTTGTCGATTGGAGCAGTGAAACACACGTGTGAGTTTAAGCGCAGGTTAGACGGCTTGCCTAATGGAACAACTCTTTCTGGTCACTTGAACATTCAGATTTGAGCGGCCGGCAGAATTGTCTCTCATTCGCGCGGCGTCGCTCATCCCGCCCCGCGGGTGTAGCAACAGAATCGACAGTACGGTAACTTCAGTAGGCGAGAAATCATACACCGTAATCCAAAGGGAGCCGTAAATGAAACTGAATGCACACCAAGCACAGTATCTCACGACATCGACGCTGAAATTGCGTGGGTACCGCAGGTATGTGTTGTGGTTGCTGTTAGCTCGAACATTTTTGAACGTTACGAATAGAATAGTAGGTGTCTATCTAGCGTTCTTAGCACCGATCGACACCTACGCTAAACTCTTCACTCAAGACGCTGCATTTCGCTGAGAAGATTTAAAATGCTAGGTAGATAGCTAACTTTAGCTTTCGCAAAAAAAAAATGCTCGAACGCAGGCGAGAATTATGAAGCAGCCCATCGCAACCCAGTTCAAGTAGTTGTCTCCATTCTCAATCAAATAAGAATGTTAAGGGTTTCAAGGACAGCACAGCTGCATCGCAAT